TATATGGGGAGCAAAAGTGGGATTTACTTTTGGTTTAGATGAACAAAAAAAGAGAAAATCCCTCTTATAAAAAAAAAAGAAAGTTTATCTTTGCTTTTGCTCTGGTTGTGTCCTTCTTCCCCTTGCCTCCTTTGCCAAAAAAAAAAAAAAAAGAAATGCTAATTTCACACGTTGGTGTTTGAAAAGCACTGTGATTCTTGCTCATTTGTAATTTTCCTCTACTTTTTTGGTAAAAGAGAAAAAAACATAAGTAATAAATCAAACTGTAATAAGCTATCACAGTGTCTATCTTCTGAAAGTTGACAGCCTGTCTTTACCATCCCGTCATCTTATTACCCAGTGTGATTAATCCGTAAAAACGTGTTACGATGTGTTTAGTGTCACTGGCTGTCAAAACGTCTTTCATGGCAAATTCTCTGTGTGTGTGTGTTGACTATATGCAGTATATACTGAGCTACTGTAGCCGTTTTTGTCCTTTGTCTTCTCTGTGCTCTATCTCTAGTGTGGGGAAGGAGAGGAGGTGGGGTCAGACGGAAAAAAACTGTCTGTTGGATGAATTTGATCCTAAAAGTGGACAAACCCGCCTCTCTACCTCCTCCTCCTTCTCTTCCGTTTCCCTCTATCTGCAGTTTTAGTGAAACCAGTGGAGGTTGTGGAAATTTCGTGTTTGGTGGCCTTTGCAAAAAAAAAAAGAAAAAACACAGAAGTAAAAATTGATTGAGACCACCATTTACTTTTGCTGCTTTCTTTCTGTCTTTGTAAAATTGCATTTTTATTTTCTAATCCTTCTCTCTTTTACTCGACTGTTGCTTTTTGCTGTTGTGTAGTCTTATTCAAACCTCTTTATCTTGTTGTCTTTTCTCTCAGAGACGAAAAGAGTATTTAACTAGCTCAAAGGTTTATGGAGCCATGTATTTACCTCTAAGGATTTCTGGGATGGGTTTCCTGCTCTTGCACAAAAAATGGAAAACAAATATTTTATTCAAGAGAAACAACATTTAATATAGAGTATGTTGAGGCAAAATCAGACGATGGGTTTTAGAGATACTCCCAACTGAAAATCCTGGACTGTGAAACATTTCCCAGAATTCCTTTAGGTTTTTTTGTGCATTGGGTGTATTTCAGTGGTTTGCACCAAATCTTCCTAAACTCCCATTTGAATTTCTCGTTGGGGATTTGAACCAACTTAGGGTTTCATTTGACGGGAGAAAATCAAGCATTGTCTTTCAAGACACGAATAAAAAGAAATATTTTAACAATTTCTATAAATATTAACAGCAGGAAATCTTTTCTCACTATAAATCTATTTTTATAGGTGTTTTGGAAACTGAACTGCATGTTTAGTAATTGCGTCTGACCCATTTACTGTGAACAACCCATGTTTGTTTAATTTAACAACATTTTAGTCTAATGGTTGTTGTTTCCTTATGGTTTTGATTTTCCTTTTTTTCTGTTATGCTTATAAGGATAAAATGAAGGCAGACTAAGATTAATTAACTTCTTTACATCTCTAAAATATTTTGCAGTGTTTTTTTATTTTTGTTTATTACGGTGAATCACTGTCTTGCTATTAACACTATCAACACTAGGCAGTAAGCAAAAAATGAAGAATAAATATTTGATTTGAGTCCGCCAGTATATTAGTGGATTTGGTACGTTGTTTATGGCTGAATGTTCAGAGTTGTCATTTCAGGAACAACTTGTTTCCACGCTCCCTTAGATTTAAACATTATCTCTCTATGTGGTTTTGAAGGGAATGGTTTAAGAATATAGAAAATGCTCGTGTTAGTGAGTGATCACTGGGAGGCATATCACAAATGAAACCAAGAAATACACCCAAATGTAACTAAAACCAAACAGCTATTTCCAGCTGTTTAAATGTTTTTTCTGTGTTTTTTGTCGAAAAATGAAAACTTTGCTGGTGATTTTAAACCCTAAAAAACCTTAATCACAGCTGCTGTCAAATACATAGTGTTTCAAATTTTCAAATATTGAAAAGTCATCTCATTTACCTGTGAAGAAACTGTGTCTGTGTTTTTAACTATTTCTTGTACAATTAAACAGATTCTTTTATGAGGAACCTGGTGCCAAGTAGCTGAAATACGGGAAAGCGGGAAACTCTTATTATCAGTGTTAACAGTGTTATAAAATTCTAAATACAAACAAATTAAAATATTAAAAAAGAGAAAACTATGGTACTATGGTTTCTATTTTTTGTGTATGTTTTCCTCTTGTAAGGGGTTAAAAGCTCATGACAAACGGATGCTAACTATGAGTGCCTGCCATGTGTTGATCTTATTTTGAAACTACATTTTCATTTATCATAAATAACGCTGCAAATCAAAACTGTACGTTTCATTTTTTTATAGCTCTGTTCTTTTTTAAAGTTTGCTAATTTCTCATCTGTTTGGAAGAACATGTCACATACATGGTTGTCTTTCTGTAACCCAGTTTTGACCATCTTGCAGGTGCCATATTCATAATAAAATGTTCTATTAAATTGGTTACCAGATTGCATCATTTCTTCTGTTTCCGCATTTAACCATCTCACTCGTCACCAGGCTATGAACACTTCCACGCTCTTTAAGATGAAGGTTTCTTCTTTCTTCTCCCATGTTTTCTACCTGATATTTGTAATAATATAGAGAAATTGTGGAAATTTTATGGAGCTATTTAACTCAGGTTTTAAAAAGCTGCAACAGATACAAAGACACAGAATCATAGACAACAGCAACCCCTCACACTGAGTAAGTATGCAGCGACTGAGGAGAGGAAAACCTCTTTTTAGCAGTAATAAACCTCCAGCAGAACTAGAGTAAACAGCCATCTGCTGGGCCGACTGGGGTTCAAGGAGACAAAAGGACCACAGAGGAACCATAAACTATGTTAGAGAAGGTAATGATAAACTAGATTTATAGATGGCTCTGTCTGCGAAAAAAAACGATTATGTGCTGTGTTCACACCGAAGGCATTATGGGTGTCAAAAATGCATAGACTCTGGACACTGGGTCAGACACTGGATCAAACTGTGGTCAAGTTGTTTTGAGGCTTCAATGCTTTTTTTGCTGTTCTGTAGTTTCAAGCTAGTGAGCAACTTGGCTTTATTTACTTTATGAGTTGAAAAAATAGTTTTAACACTATTTAAGCGAGAAAGTCCTTCTCCAAACACCCTCTGTTCATCAGGATTGTGATACCACTGAAGCCGGGCATACACTGTACCATTTTTGCACTTTTCGGGCCGATTTTCAAGTCGTGTGAGAATTTTTTCGATCGGGCCGAGTTTCAGTGTCAGGTTTATTCAATGATGATTATAAAATTAATGTGTGCTTATCAATCATTTGTGCAAGGGAGATGCTGCACTGTGTCTTGTGATGCAGTCAGTGGACCATCCTGCCTCGTGATTCTGGTGGAGCATCCTGTCTCTATGAACTGATCAATTGTTCTGTCAGAACAATACTCTGTTTGTAACCAAGTGCTATGTTCTGTTAATATAAGACGGCTGCAGGAGGTGATTCAGTGAAGGAAAGCTTGAAGTTGGGTTGGGCTTTTCCTTCAGCTCCTGCAGAAGCTGCTTGGATCTCTTTCCTGTGCAGACTCAATTTATATTTATTTGCAAATCTACATTTTCTGAATCCAACATTCAGCCTCTCAGTGCTTCCTCCATTGTGTAGTATACAGAAGGGTAACTAGGGGCGATTAGACTCTTACGACCACCTACCGATCAGGAGTCATAAGATCGGGAGGAAATCAAACATGTAACATTCGGTTGGCCGTTGTGAGGCGGTCGTGGGCAAATCCTGCTGTTGAAGCAGAGCTACAAGCCGATTTACCAGAACCTCGAGCATGGCGCTGGTGCAAACGAGGGAGTTTTTCCAGATTGACGAGTCAGAGTAGCGCCATCTCTCAGCGCTGAGTCAGACATGTGGTTTTCGGAGGTGCTGTGTGAGCAGGTAGACCGCATCAGAGCGTTGGGCCGCCCAGCGTGAGACCATACATCATGAGCTGTAAACTTTTAAACCCTGTTTTTTTTGTCGTACAGTTTGAGCTGTAGCTAATTGCAATGATTGAATATATCGCAGTGTATGCCCGGCTTAAAAAATGCAGTTCGTAGAGCCAGACCTCGAGCATACTGTCGGGAGGCAGCGCTGGAAATCCCCGCACAAAGCTCTCTGCTGCAGCCAGCCTGTGGGGGATTTCCCACTGCAGTTCGGAGTGGCGAGAAGTAGAGTCCTGCAACTGGTCGGGTACCCGGGGGTCCCCGACGGGTCACCCGCTAAAATGCTCTTTTGCGGGTGAAAAATACATAAATAAAAATAAATGGGTCGGGCGGATATTTTTTTAGTGTGGGCGGGTAGTTGG